CAGCAGCAGCAGCAGCAGCAGCAGATAATACAGCAGCAGCAGCAAATACAACAGCAGCAAATGCAGCAGCAGCAGCAGCAGCAGCAGATAAAACAGCAGCAGCACATAATACAGCAGCAGCAGCAAATACAACAGCAGCAAATGCAGCAGCAAATGCAGCAGCAGCAGCAAAATGTGTAAGGGCAAGGAGAATGCCTCGGCAGCAGCACCAGCACCACCAGCAGCAGCAGCAGCAGCAGCAGCAGCAGCAGGAGCAGCAGCAGGAGCAGCAGGAGCAGCAGCAGCAGACCTTGGTTTTGACGAGATCTCTCCATACTAGCGCTAGCTGTCTCTCAGCTAGCTGCAGCTGCATGAGCTGTCTATACAGCAGCTGGTAGCTAGCCATCGTCTCCCGCGAAAATAATAAACGCAAAGGCCCCCGGCAGTTCACACTCAGACACAAACGACGATATATCTCTGCAGCAGCAACAGCAGCAGCAGCAGCAGCAGCAGCAGCAGCAGCAGCAGCAGCAGCAGCAGCAGCAGCGGCAGTAGCAGCAGGGAATGTAGCAGCAGGGAATGTAGCAGCAGCAGCGATGGCAGTAGCAGCAGCAGCAGCAGCAGGGAATGTAGCAGCAGCAGCGATGGCAACAGCAGCAGCAGCAGCAGCAGGAAATGTAGCAGCAGCAGCGATGGCAATAGCAGCAGGAGTTCAAGCAGCAGCAGCAGCAGCTGCTGCTGCTGCTCATGAGCTATCATCATAGAGAGCTCTAGAGAAGCTGACTCCTAAACCCTAAACCCTAAACCCTAAACCCTAAACCCTAACCTGTGGGTCCGAAGTCTACAGGGTGCTGCTGCAGCTGCTGCTGCGAGGCCCTGGGAGCAGCAACTAGCTGCGCATACAGCTCAGGCTTTGCTGCTGCTCGGTGCAGCAGCTGAGCTGCTTCAGATAAACTCGCCACGGGGTGTAGAGACAGAGACAGGTCGTCACAGAGCCTGCAGCAGCAGCAGCAGCAGCAGCAGCAGCAGCAGCAGCAGCAACAGCAGCAGCAGGAGTAGCAGCAGCAGCAGCAGCAGCAGCGGTATAGTAACGCAATCATAAATGCCGAGAGAAGAAGCAGCCTGAGCAGCAACAGCAACAAGGCTAGTCGAACCAGCAGCAGCAACACCAGCAGCAGCAGCAGCAGCAACAGCAGCAGCAGCAGCAGCAGCAGCAGCAGCAGCAGCAGCAGCATACCACTCGTATTCAGTGACGGTTCTTAACGCTGCATCCATCCTGGCCTCTAATACATGCATTTGTTGAATGAGGTGTTGCTGCTGCTGCTGCTGCTGCGCCTCGATGCTTCTGCCAGCTGCTGCTCCTGCAGCAGCAGCAGCAGCAGCAGCAGCAGCAGCAGCAGCACGCTGCTGCTGCAGCGGATCTGCTGCGGGATCGCACGACTCCAGAAAGGCAGCAAAGACATCGCCGCGGCCGCCAAGACAGAGGGCCCTGAGGCCCCTCAGAAAGCCTACGAATCCTTGTGCTGCTGGGTGATCTGCTGCTGCTGCTGCTGCTGCTGCTGCTGCTGCTGCGTCTCCTAATACGCGAGGAGATGCCAGCATTGCATGCACTGCAGCAGATGCTGCTGCTG